ATATATATTAAAATGAAATAAAAAGGCTGAGTGATACAAAATCTTAAAATATAAAAGTGCCACTTTGTCCCACTACATACATTTTGCATTTGGTCGTAGAACTACACGAGTTTAAATGTACGATTTTAATAATGATTTAATGAGATTTTAGTTGTTTATGTAGAGTTCTAATTCTAGAGGTTAATTTATGTAAATGCTGCGTGAAATTTGATGTGTTTTAATGGCCGTGCGCACTGAATACTGGAGTCTAATTCAAACACTGGGGGAGTTACCATGGAAACGGGGCGACAACACCAACTGACAAGCCGCAAAACTCCGTCTCTCGCTGTTGTTTTCCCTGCTTTCAGGTGAGTTTAGTCCCTAAAATCACACAAATATCACATACAACTGTTTATGTAATTGATATGCCTCTGTTGAATATTTACTTCATAGAAATGGTTTACAGTCTTCGAAAAAGTCCGTTAGCATCTCAACTGTTTTCAGACGAGGTAGGATACCCCTATAGCTTGAGCTCTTGTTTATGAATGTTCGGGCTTTTAATCACATCTTTATGTGTAGTTGAGAGGTTTTGATAGCTTTGTAAAGGGTTTGCTGTCAGTTTGTCAATGGTTTATTGGAAGTGGTCTAACTTATTTTGCCTAAAATATGTGCTGTACTGTTTATCGGTGACGTCACTAACAAGGAGTGTGATTTAGTTCGGTGTATGGTTCCATGAAGAACCTTTCCATTTCCATATCCAAAGAACCTTTCCATTGCACAAATTTTCTTTGTAGCACAGAAAGGTTCTTTAGACTATTTAATGGTTCTTCACACTCAATATGTTGTAAATATTTTTTTTTCTGGAAAGTGAGATCAAGTGAGCTAAATTGTCCTGCTTGGTCCAGAACTCACTCCAGACTCATTTTCTACTCGTTGCGTTCAATTATAGTGCAATATAAAGTATTAATTTTGAGTTATATAAATAGTGTTGTGGTGTGTATTAATTAAAAAAGACCAGTAGATCTATTTTAATGCTGTTTTGCATGACAAAAAAATAATAAAAATAAAAATAAATAATCATATACAGTATATGTTTTAATGGCCGTGCGCACTGAATACTGGAGTCTAATTCAAACACTGGGGGAGTTACCATGGAAACGGGGCGACAACACCAACTGACAAGCCGCAAAACTCCGTCTCTCGCTGTTGTTTTCCCTGCTTTCAGGTGAGTTTAGTCCCTAAAATCACACAAATATCACATACAACTGTTTATGTAATTGATATGCCTCTGTTGAATATTTACTTCATAGAAATGGTTTACAGTCTTCGAAAAAGTCCGTTAGCATCTCAACTGTTTTCAGACGAGGTAGGATACCCCTATAGCTTGAGCTCTTGTTTATGAATGTTCGGGCTTTTAATCACATCTTTATGTGTAGTTGAGAGGTTTTGATAGCTTTGTAAAGGGTTTGCTGTCAGTTTGTCAATGGTTTATTGGAAGTGGTCTAACTTATTTTGCCTAAAATATGTGCTGTACTGTTTATCGGTGACGTCACTAACAAGGAGTGTGATTTAGTTCAAACGTGTTTTGATCTCATATGGTAAACAAATATTGATAAAAAAATTGTTCTGTGGTTTCAGGAGTGATTATATAATCTTCCTACAACAGAAGAGAAGCTCCAAGATTTCAAAATTTCTGAAGGGAGCTGCTGACAGAAATGCAGGAAACACAGGTGAGCTTAGAAGATATTAAATCACCAGATCCTCCTGTCAACTCTGGCAAAGGGCGTCTCAGGAATCACACTCCAGTGGTTTGAGTCTTACCTCTCAGATAGGTCCTTCAAGGTATCTTGGAGAGGTGAGGTGTCCAAGTTGCAACATCTAGCTACTGGGGTGCCTCAGGGCTCAGTACTTGGACCACTTCTCTTCTCTGTCTACATGGCATCACTAGGTTCTGTCATTCAGAAACATGGATTTTCATATCACTGCTATGCTGATGACACTCAACTCTACCTCTCATTCCATCCTGATGATCCGACGATAGCTGCTCTCATCTCATGTCTAACAGACATTTCTTGTTGGATGACAGACCATCACCTTCAACTCAACCCGGCTAAGACAGAACTGCTTGTGGTTTCAACAAACCCATCACTTTATCAAAATTTCACCATCCAGTTACGCTCATAAACCATAACTCCTTCAAAAAGAGCTAGAAACCTTGGAGTTGTGATTGATGATAAGCTGAATTTCTCAGACCACATTGCTAAAACTGCCCGGTCCTGCAGATTTGCTTTATACAACATTAGGAAGATCAGGCCCTTTCTTTCAGAACATGCAACACAACTCCTTGTTCAAGCTCTTGTTCCGTCCAGGCTGCACTACTGCAATGCTCTCTTAGCAGGTCTTCCAGAATCAAAATGTTGGTGATTTGTGGATTGAAAAGTATTCTTACTGCATTGTTGTCGCACAATGTTTTTCCTATTTTCCGCGTTAGTGTTGTTGAGAATGTCAGCGCTGTTTCATCTGCCTTTGACATATGTGGTTTGTATGGAAACCTCTGCTCCAAACTCAAACGCTTCTCACAGCGCTGTTTAGTGGTCTCGTGATCGAGATCAGTCAGCGCGTAAACGCATTTGTTCTGAGCTCGCGCTACGCTGTCTTTAGGCAGAGCTAAAAAGGGTGCGTGCAGCGCGGTTCAAACGAGTCGCGCTCTTCCGCTTTTGACGCGTTTAGGAATTCGCGTGCGCTAAAGAAATGAGAGCGCATATGAGTTATCAAATTGATATCACTCGGTTTTACTGCTACATCTGGTCTAAAATGTAGTGCTGCCATCTTGTGTTGACATTTTGAAACTGCATAGGCCTATTTTGTAAATTATGCTTGGCGGGCCATATATAATATAGACTATTAAGACAGCTGCGGGCCGCTTAAAATTCATCCACGGGCCGCATTTGGCCCGCGGGCCGTAGTTTGTACACCCCTGGTGTAGATGGTAAAGCGCGTCCTGTGGTCTCTTTGACGTGATCGACCCGGGTTCGAATTCGCCTTTTACCGAACTTTTTTTTCTCCCTTTTCAAATCTCATATCATACCGGAAAGGCATTTATTTTCAATAAAAATATAGGAAATAATCAAAAATTTGAAAATAAAGTATCGGGTAGGGTTAGGGTAGGTGTAGGCAGGGCCTTATATTGTCCCAATAAGGTGGCATCCATTTAATAATTTGAATTAAAATGATCATTTACACTCAATACGTTATTACTGCATACTGTTTTATAATGTACTATAATACTGAGGTGCAGATAATTGCCACTATTTGCAATAAGTAGTATAAATAGCAGAAAATCCTGCTATTTTAACAGTGTAAATAGCATATTGTTAAAAATACTGCTATTTTCACTTAGTGTAAATAGCATCTAATCCCTGTAAATTTTTATGCAAATGTGGGGGCGTGTTAGAACGATCCGTTTTAGGAGGGCGTGGTTGACTCTTAACTTTTATAAAGAATATCTCTTTGGATTTGAGACTTTAGTCTTTGCAACTTTACAGATCTTCTTTATGCACCAAGAGCTTGTAACACTCCAAAGAGAAAGGAAACATTGAAATCACATCACATGACCCCTTTAATTAAAATAATGCAGACTTAGTGAGCAGAAGAGATTTTTTCTCCAAAAACATTGTAATGTTTCCAAAATGTTGACAGGTACTGTATAACATTGTTACCTAGTGCTTATATTGCTTAAATACCATTAATTGGATGGATTTGTGGCCCAAGATGCTGGGATAGGCTTCAGCCCCCATGACCCTAAAGAGGATAAGTGGTTTGGAGAGTAAATAGATGGATGGATGAACTTCCAAAATACTTTGACTTGCTTTGATTTTGTTCCTATTCTTACTGCTGTTCAGCTTAAAAATACCTTTCCATTGTCTGTGTTTGTCATTTTGCATCATTATACCTGTGCTAAACCTATTAAAGTAAAATAAAAAACAATTAAAGTGTCTTTTTTGTTGTTGTTTGTTGCAGGATCCTATGTACCCAACCTCAACCATTCATCAGAAGGACTGTGAAAGCGGGAACTCTTTGAACCACCAGTAGCAGTTTCCATGAAAAAGGGCATAGTAGTGGATGATGGGGGTACTGACATTAAACTGCCGTATTCACTGTATTACACACTAGGGATGGGCATTTTTGTTAATTTTTCATTTCAAGTACTGATAGGTCTTTATTTTGATGGTCTGGATGGCATGCTGTCCTAACACTAACTAGTCAGAGCTCAGGTACCACCCAAAATGCTGCCATAACGAATCAGAAAAAGAGAAAAATGTAAAGTCACGGTGATCATCGAGTACTCTGACTTGACAGAGATGATTGATCATGAAAACAATGATTGCAGTGACTTTAAAAAATGATCAATCATTGCCGTCAAGTCTGAGTACTCTACAGTAGTACTTGTGCACATCCCTATTAAACACACATACACAGTATTGAGGTATGATGTATACTGTAAATGCAATAAACATCATTTATCTTGTGAAGTCTTTTTACTTCTGGATTTTCTTTTTTTTTTCAAAATTATTTTATGAACAGTCCTCTTAAAGAAAATTTATAGTATGATAAATGTGAGGATATTGATCTGGAGCATACATGCAAACTAGCTGCTTTTCAGCGAAATTCGCCGTTTTGAATTAAAATATGTCATTTACGTGAATCATAGATCCGAAGATTTTTTTTGGGGGGGGGGTATGTGGGGTGTTGGAGAGAGAGAGAAAGAAATTGCAAGCTCATACACTGGAGTGAGACCATAAGTGTGTTCGAACAAAGTCCCTTTCTCGGTTCGACTTGAAGCAGCACCGCGCAGACCGATCGCTGTATGACCGCGCGAGAGCTACGGAGAGCAGATGGCTCCGCATGCTTTATTTTTATTTTTATTTTTTCTTTTAATAGCTTTTATTTCCATGTTTCTAATGTATTGTAATCACCACACATACAATTGTAAATCACATAGTAAGAGATTTTATCAAGTCTGTTACTCTTACAGAAAGCAAAGAAAAGGGAAATTAATCGGTTCAGAAAAAAGCAGTGTCCACATTTTTCTCTTGAAACTCAAACACTTGTAAACAGAATAAAATGTTTAAACTTCAGTTAAAATTACTGAACTAATATTTAGTTGCATAACCATTCTTATTGATAACTACTTTTTTTTTTTTTTGGCTCCACAGACAGCGTGGAAGTTCTTCATTGTGAGTGAAGCAGACACAAAGTTCGCAATTTGTAATACAATATTGACTGTTTTTGCTCAAGTTCGCTGACAAAGTTTCAATCAAAGTCAGCAGAACTGTTGTGTCTCCCAGCAACACACAGCAGTGTTTCATTACTGAATGAATCCACGTTCTTGAACGAATGGGTACCGGGTGCCCCGCCTCCCCATCTTTGAAGCTGACACTTGACTCAGAAAAGCACTAGTATATTAATAAATAATTAAAATGTCTTCTTTTCCCGCGACACATTCATAATCACTTTGCCGGTGCTTTGAGGCAATTGCTTTATGTAGGGCAGGGGTCTCCAAACTCGGTCCTGGAGGGCCGGTGTCCTGCAGAGTTTAGCTCCAACTTTAATCAAACACACCTGAACCAGCTAATCAAGGTTTTACTAGGTAGTATACTTGAAACTTTCAGGCAGGTGTGTTGAGGCAAGTTGGAGCTAAACTCTCCAGGAGGCCCTCCAGGACCGAGTTTGGTGACCCCTGATGTAGGGTGACCATACGTCCTCTTTTTCCCGGACATGTCCTGTTTTCGGACCTAATGTCCAGAAAATGAATGCATAATGTACAACAGGGGTCACCAAGCTCAGTCCTGGAGGGCCGGTGTCCTGCAGAGTTTAGCTCCAACTTTCCTCAACACACCGACCTTACTGGAAGTTTCAAGTATAGCCTAAGACCTTGATTAGCTGGTTCAGGTGTGTTTGATTATGGTTAGAGATAAACTCTACAGGACAGTGGCCCTCCAGGACCAAGTTTGGTGACCCCTGATGTAGGCTACATCAACTGGTGGACACTTTGCTATCTCATAATGCCCCAGGACTTGAGAAACTCAAAAGTTTGGCAAGAAAAAGCAAGAAAGTGTGAGTTTGGCAGTGTATAAGTACCAAGAAAGTTGTTCCTCAGAGTAAAACTGTAGTTGTTTAACAACAACACCAAGGTAACAGCACCGGGTCAAAAGCCAATGCCAGCAGTAGTGTGTCAGGGAAAGTATTTATAGCGTGCTACACATCTGCATCAACATAATAGTTGAGGAATACACCATCAAATTCAGTACATACCCTAAAGTGAGAGTGAGTAAATTATGACACTATTGCTTTAAGTAGCTTCTACCTGGTGTGTGCATGCATTTATATCTCAGATTCACATGAGTAACTGGCTTTATACACACAG